GGACAACTGACCACGAAAATACGTCACTAAAAAGACAAAAACTACTAATTCAAAAAAACTTGACTAGAAAATACTGTTTCAATAGTGTTACAACCTTAAACTATTTCCTTAGATATTACTATGTATCTGTATCCGTTTCCTTAGTTCTTAGTTACTATACTATAAATCTTTATTTTAGTTAAATAAAACATCCTGAATAATCGTCAATTAGACACACGGTAGCCATATGAGATCTCACAACATATTCAGGGTCACAACATATTCAGGGGGTGGGGGGTCGTGTGCTTTATCCTTTATCATCAGATTTAGGAATTGAATGGGCATTCAAAGCGCAAGATAATGATTATTAGACATATTATGTGATATCACAATTAAAGCTTTGCATCAATGAAATTGAATCACAATGTGATCCTATTAATTCATAATAAAAATTGACGTCAAACGGAGTTTTGGATTTCTCTCTTTAAAAAGCCCAGTGTGTGTGTATCAATACGTAATTTGGAGACTATGATGGCATCATGCATTGTCAACTGTCAAATTTCCTTAACAGGAACCTCTCAAACCCCCTCCTGCAAAAATTCCTGGGTTCGTCCCTAACAGGAAGTACCGAGTGTTCATACAAATGAGATTGGCGCGCGATACCCGCCAATAAAAAAGCTAACAACGATAAACTTGATCTTTAATGAACTGACTAAAGTCAGATTTACTTATGGTTTGCGATTGGTATTGTCGTTGAGAATTCTGGGTATCCTGTTGTTTTTCATTTTGTAATTTGATTTTTAATTGATACGATTATGAGTAAATAGACAATAATACGGCATTATCAATTATCTTTGATTTAAGTTGGGTTAAACTGGTCATTTTTTTGGATTATTAAGGTTTCACACTTTTGTTTTTGTTCGGATTATTAAGCTTTCAAATTTCATATGAAAGCTTATTGTTTTTGTTAAGGTTATTAGGCTTTCAGACTCTATTTGTTTTTAAATAAAGTCATTATATTATTATTATTCTTTACCCTCACCCCCTATATCTCGAAAACTGTAAGAGATATCGATCAGGGGTTTTGACTTTTAGTGGCATATGACTGCTACAGGATAAAACCATTTCCCAAAACCGGAAGTCGTCCGTAGCTTCGAAAGTTCTTTAGCTATTCCGAAAAGCATTACATTTTTCAATAGCCTGTTTCAGGGTCTAAAAGATAGCAGTTGACAATTTCGAAATGTGGAAACTTCGTCGCTCTCAAATTATCTTGATATTACATACTTTTACACTATTTGCGTACAAGAAGCGGCCATTGTGCCGGGTAGTTTCCTTCAGATATTTATGAAATTCGAACTCAATCATCATTAGGGTGTAACGGAGATATATTTACACGTTTTTGTAAATCGGATAAAAATTGTGACCTCTGGTGGAACCACAAGCTAAAAACGCGATTTTGCGTACAATCAGGGGCTATCATCCAGGAAGTTGCGGTCCGATATGCGCGAATATCGAATGGGACCGAGATCTGTGGGGTATCCACAAGCTAAGAACGTGATTTTTTCGTACAATCAGGGGTCATAATCCATGAAGTTTCGACCCGACACATGCCAATATCGAAGGGAATCGAGATCTTTTGGAGATAAACCTATATTTAATGTTTCGTCAATATCGGATAAGAATTGTGACCTGTAGAGTGTCCACAAACAAATTGTGGATGGACGGACATGGGCGACGGCATAATTCGTCAACATGAAATTGTGGGCGTATAAAAAGTTCTTGTATGTCAAAGAGTCACATTAAAACACAGATTTTAAAAATCGCTGTCGTGAGAAGTGTGGGGACTGGGGGGGGGGGGGGCATCTCCCCCCTTTGTCATAATGATAACAAGTTAAAACAGGAGATCCAGCTGATTTGGTGTCATCAATGCGGATTGGAAAAATACCCGCCGGAAAACAATCCGCTTGTTTTATGTGGAAAACCGAAGTTCTCGTGGTAAAAACCACATAGCTGGACCCTTGGATTACATATTAAAAACTGGTCGTCCAATTAGTTCCACACAGTTTAAAGTTATTTAAAAGTCCTTTAAAACGGTACACCACTTCAGCGTTCAAAATCATTTATATTTTACAGTCCATTAAAGTTTTTTCTTTTATGTGACTCTTCCCAGATAAAAGTTACCTGAAAAGAAAAGAAGAACCAGCATGTACATTAGCCTTTTCATATTCTAACTATTAATGGATAAGCTCAAGTATTGACATCAAAATATATACTATACAAGATTATCACTCGAGACATTAACATAAATAAACAAGACATTCATTAAGCAAGAGCAAAATCTGCCCATTACAGGTCTTTCCTTAGGCCTGAAATGTTATCTAAATTATTAATTACACATTAATTAACTCATTCAGGTCATGATCAACTCTCAATGCCATCGCTAGCGGATGGATTGGAATACATTTTTAAAAAAATGATTAAAGGTAAAAGTGGATAACCGAGACTTTGGTTTTTTTTTATCGTACCGACTTTAGTAATGATGATCAAGGCTAGGCCTAAAAATCAATCGGAAATATCTCGGTTCAGGGTGGAGCAATTTGACTGAAATTTTCAGCATATTCTCTTTACGTTATCATTTTTTTTAACTATTATAGCGATAACTGGCAACCCTTTATCTAATCTCCCATAATGCCACTTTAACTAATTAGCTTCTACCCTGATTGATCTTAACCATGACACATTAATTACTATCTAATACTTACTGGTCATTACGCCTGGTCATATATTAGGGATGAAAATAAAGACATTTTGGCTCCTGAAAGGCTTGATTTCTTCATCAAATGGGGGGGGGGGGGGGTAGGGTCGGGAGATTTTCTATGAATTTTACTGATTTTTAGACACAAATTTGTGAAATTACAATACTGTTCACTTCAGCTATCCGAGGTAGAAAAGGGTAAAATTGAATATTAAGATATTTTTGTTACTGTTAGAAATTTTCCTCCAGAATTAAGTCTTCATATCTAAAAGATAGGTTGTCAGGCAACAAAACATACGCCCACAGCAGCTAAATCGTCCGGCAGCCAACGGGTTGTCGCATATTTAATCCTTTGTAGATAATGCTGGGGATTTACAAGACAATTTCATACAGATAGATTATAATTTTCGTCCTTAACAAAGGCCTTAACTCTGGAAGTAATATACAAGTTGAAATTCGACAGCCTTCATCTTTTTACTAATTCAAATAATGCATACCAATGGATGGCCACTTTTGTCGTTCGAGCGTTCACAATGTTCAACAAAGTAAAAAAAAGGGCACAAATCAAAAGGCAATTGATTGAAATTGCTGAAATTCAATAGACTTTATTACTGAAATTCAATAGGATTACCCGGAGAAAACCCACGAGGTTGGACAGGCGACCCTACTCCTTGTCACGTACAACCGGGGAATCGAAACCACGCCAGTTGTCTGAATGACAGACGTTATGATACGGTGCGCACGCGCTAACCATCCAACCTCCCAGAAGATAAATGTAGTCTGTACAGTCTTCACAACAAAGTGTGGGCGGTAGACCGATGGCAATATACGATCACATTTCCATGTGGGCGTATAAAAAGGGAAAGGGACAGAAGGATGAAAAATTATGGAAGACCAAATGGGACAATATTCATGGTTCTTGTCTCTACATTCCAGTTTGAACATTTTAGACACGAACGCAACATTCTAAACTAATGATTCTTGTTTCTACATTCTTATGTCAACATTTCATGCACAAAATCAACATTTTAAACAAAAAATTGACTTTATGTTTCATTTTCTGCGTTTTATCGGTAACTTTTATATATCATTAAATATTAAAATTAAAAAATAATTTCTTAATTTTACACGACAAAGAAATCAATTCATTGGTTTCTGAAAGTATCTAAAAAAAAATCTGGAATTTGAACTCTTATGAAAATATTTTCTTCGTTTCAAAAAGTCTTGAAGTTAAAATCTTGAAATGAAAATGTCCAGAAAAATATCATGAATTATCAACATTATTACACCAGAGGGCGTTAGCGTATGTGTACAACTTTGATACAGACTATAGATTAGAAATCAAAAGTAGACTTTTCCACGAGTGGAAGTGGGCCTTTGCTGTGTTTACAGTACACGTAATTAGTTGCATGAAACGGAAATTAAGCTCGAGATATAATAACAATAAAAATAACTTCTATAATTTAAACAGCTAGAAAAATTAGGACAAAGGCCTTTAATTTCTTACATATTCGCTGTTATTTGTTTACTTTTTCATGTTTACAAATTAGACCTACACGTGTTTCGAATATGGCAAAAATGGATGATAATGCTGTGTTTTAAATGGAATCTATTCACTGTTATTTGTTTACTTTTTCATATTAACTATAACTAAAGGATAGTGTTTGCAAATTAGACCTACACGTGTTTCGAGTGGAAAAATCTACTTTTGATTTCTAATCTATAGTCTTTATCAAAGTTGTACACATACGCCAACGCCCTCTGCTGTAATAATGTTGATAATTCATTATATTTTTCTGGACATTTTCATTTCAAGATTTTAACTTCAAGACTTTTTGAAACGTAGAAAATATTTTCATAAGAGTTCAAATTCCAGATTTTTTTTAGATACTTTTAGAAACCAATGAATTGATTTCTTTGTCGTGTAAAATTAAGAAATTATTTTTTAATTTTAATATTTAATGATATATAAAAGTTACCGATAAAACGCCGAAAATGAAGCATACAGTCAATTTTTTGTTTAAAATGTTGATTTTGTGCATGAAATGTTGACATAAGAATGTAGAAACAAGAATCATTAGTTTAGAATGTTGCGTTCGTGTCTAAAATGTTCAAACTAGAATCATGAATATTGTCCCATTTGGTCTTCCATAAAAAATAACTTTAGCCCATTACTTCGAACATTAGTTACCTACCTGTATGTCAACAAATAACTTGTCAATTCCCAGATCCATTTAGTTTTTATGAGAAAAATAACAACAAACTACATTATTGGCTTATTACACCCTGTATTGTCTTTGTATAAAGTGTATAAGTTTTTCTGTTAGATTACTTATTTGTCTGATCATGTGACCTCTTGCTCAATGTACAAATAGGCTAAATATAGATTGATAGATTGAATAGGTCCACGGTACCTGTATTTATATATCCATTTGATAGCTCTGCTTAACTAATAAATACAAAAAAACAATACCAAGTTTAAATATAATAATATACCATGAAAAATAAAGCAATATCATATATCTAACTAGTACATTAATAACAAATTAATTCATTGTTGTACAAATGAACACACGATATGCTGTTATGATCTGGTGGTACCTGATTCTAATAACCCAACAATCTGATTAAAAGACAGATTATATTATGTTTCAGATTCAATAATTCAAATTTCGTTTAATTTGTCTTTAAGGCAGTAGGATCTAGGATTTTTAAATTAACCCTGTTCTCATTGACATGGGATTAACAAATGAAATACTGTTTATTCAAAATTCAGGCAAGGTGTCCAGACTGTCCACTGCATTATGGGAGACACTTGCAGAGCAGTAAACAGCAAAGTTAAATGTTAATACTTTAAGTTCTTTAAAGTTCACCTATGTGACCCCTGACGTGACCTTGGAGGCCATCAAAATTTGAAAAAAAGAAACAAACTTTAGATCTGTATTTTAATCAGATTGAACTGTTGGTTGCCAAAGTGGAAGATTTTTTATCCTTATTTCTATCTAAGTCATCTGGCCACCCATAATTGTGGTACCTTTATTAACTATTGTTTATATATGTCTTTTATACATTTCATTATTATTTTACTGTATGTACAGAATGAAATCTAAAGTAAAATACCTAATTGTTACTAAATTCAGCAGTGACTGGAATCTGTGATCTAGCCATCTTTGATCTATCAGGCTGCAGAGGATGTTTTTATAAAATGATCCTATTTGATACCAAGGGTGTAAATACATTAAATGATTTTAACAAATGTTATTTCATTTGTGCCTTTAACTATAAATCAGACAATGTAAAAGATATTGAATTAATATTTATTTCTCATTCACCATAATAAAAATTCTTGCTAATGAGAAATGGGGTTTAACATCCACTAAACACAAACTAGGTCATTTTGGGACAAAGGTGATATATTATTTCAACAATTAGCTCTTGTGAAGGGGTTTCTAGCAGTAGAAGGTAGCCAGAGGGATCTCTTATATTAATTTATTAATGCCTTGTCATGTACAAACTTTGGTTTGAAATGACACCTGACTCAATGGCATACCTTATGATCTAAATCACACACACTATAAATCAATCATCACCCCTCCCCCTTGCATATCTGAACTCACAGAGAACATTGCTGCTTCAGTCCTCCCATTTAGCTATGTGCCATCTTCAAAAAACTTATGTTGATGGAAGTAACCATATCATGCAATTTCTTTTGATAAAGACTGTTTACTTTATAGTTTAATTACACAAACAAATCTACTTTTTATTGTAAACTAGTTAGAACAGACATTATTAAACGAATACTGGTAATTTTCTGTATATTTCTGATCAGACTATTTGAAGAGTGCACAATTTTTATCATAAAAATAATCAAAAATCTCAAGAACAAAATTTACAAAATAATTATTCCATTATAATAGACAATAATAAATCAATATTTTTGATATACTTACAGAATTGATCAAATACACCAAAATAAGTAACATGTGTCAGAGGTTATCTCTGAAACTGGTAAGACACTTACAGAGGGCAAATATAGGCATCTTACCTTATAGAAATGGCTTTAGATTTAATGTACAGATTGAAATATATACCAAAATATGTATTATTGTTTTACAAATGTTTGATAATTTGGTTGGTAACATTAGCCATACAAAACTAATCGTGAAGTGATGTGTCTTATAAACAAAATCTAAATATGTTGACCAATAAGATTATAAAGATGTACAATCAAGTGTTTTAAATGTTTTAAGTTGTAATCCAATAACAGAATTGACAACTGCTTTGAACTTGTGGAGATATTTGGAGTTGGACCACTGGTTCAGTCTTATTGATTGGTTGATATTCTTGTAATTACTCGAGCGTCCCTTCCAGGAATTAGGTGAGAACTGAATCCAAGAACAGTCAATGGATTATCCACACACCAACCATATAATGGAATACTGTCTTTTTGAAACATGGTTTTATGAAAACTTTTTTAACACAATGATAACTAATAATTTTCATTTTGTTTTTTAATACTTTCCTCTGTGGAAGTCATTTATTTAAAGAGTGCAAAATAAATAATTTTAAAACAAGCACTACACATATCTATTGGCAAGTGTTAATTAATAATTGAATAAAATACTACAACATATATGTAATTAATAAACAAAATATAATATTCAAATTAATTATAACGAACAAAATCATTAAAAAAATAACATTGACATTATTTGCATAATTACCAAAATATAATCTTCAGCGACAATAAGGAATTAAGATTTATAGCTTAATCATTCTACAATGCTGAATATTAAGAATAATCTCTATCATTTACTGCCTACATATTGACGGAATATCCCTTGGACAAGTAATATCTCAAGTTCTTATGCTATCATCGGTACTGTCCAAAAAATACTGTGTTCATGATCTGAATTGCTGTACGCAAAATCCTGGTGAAAACAGTCAAGTCTATTCTTTTCATGATTTCAAGACATTTGTTCACAGATTCAGATCATGGGCATCAAACTTTATTTGTAAAGTCTGGTACACTGTGAACACCAGACTGAAATCTTTGTAACTATTTTGAAGGCTCACATTATTATTGCCACAGTTATTGGTCAATTCAATACTGAAAGCTAATAACGATATCCTTATAAATAAACTTCAGATATTTCAGTCACGGTAATCAGGAACAGAAACAGCATTACCTGTACTTGGAAGTAAAGGATAATTTCCATGCTAATGGAGTATTTAACTCTTTGAATATTGCATAAAGAATGACATTTTATCTAATTTTAAATCTTTTTCATACAAATTAACTGATATATTTATTATTTATTCCATTGAATTGAATTGAATTATTTTTAAAAAAAGCAGAAGATAAGCATTATTTATAAGCACCATTTCAATCTTCATTTCTTCACAATACTTTTCTCATGCAGGGTTGTCATGGTTTTATGCAACTGGCTTATAAAACATTAAATTAAGTTGAGTTTCTCCCATTCCATTCCTAGATCTTCTTATAATGATCAACATGATGATAGTTGTTAGGTCAATGACATTCCATTGCTTTTTTTTTTTTCTCTAACTTATGCTTCTTCAAAATGTCTTGTAAATGCTTCAAGTATTTCGAACAAAAGCAGTAAATTTTTAGTCTTTTTCAAGAATTAGTCAATCATTGAATTAAATTGTTTTAGGGGCATTCTCTTAATTTTTTTAACATTTTGTATTGAAGCTTTTCTATAAAATAACATTTAAATATTATATAATTCAAGAAATAATTTAGTTTTTGATGATTTCCCTATAATTAGTTTTGTAAATAAGTGAAGAAGTAAAATGGTTCCATAAATATGATACAATATAATAGTAAGGCTTTGTATATTTTACAGATTCTCTGTCATGGAGGTCGTAAAAGAACTTCCATTCCAACTTGTTTTAAATTGTTCGGGTAAAGCAAATTCTTTCTGAAATGACAAAAAGTGAAATGTATTAATATATTATATACTTGTTTAAAGAAACCTTGAGAGCCGATGTCAGAGAGATTTTTAGGCAAAAAATGCCATTTTAAGACTAAAATTATACATATATTCAGATTAGACTACCATATTTTGGGGCAGTTACAAGAGTAATCTGATTAAAATATAGATCTGTATTTTGTTTCCATTTTTTATACTTTCGATGGCCTACACTACATGAAGATCTGACAAGTTGTAGTGGAAGTTCGTGTTAGGGGTCGTACGAGCAGCTTTTCACCCTTTGATGTGTTGATGTTTCTAGTGGTTTACCCACAGTTCCGTGCAATGCACGCCAAGAACTCGCCATAACAGACCGTTTCATTGGATAATCACTCACTTCAACCAGAAAGCGGGTTATATTACAACTCTTCCAGAGTCCAGAGCCTAGTGTTGTGAAGACAAGTAAAACAAAATTTTGAACTATAAAAAACTAAACAAAATAGGATCTCTGTGTTTTAATCAGATTTTTACAAGATGTGTTCGGGCAAAATTACTATTTTCAGTAAAATTGTCATTTCTAATCCACGACTGTTGCATTTACTACTATTTATATACTCTTCAAAAAAAGTACGGGATATTGAAATGCAAATACCTATGCAGGTTGTGATATGATAAATAGCCATGGACATTTGACATGCTTTGAGAGTATGTTCACAGATGAAGAACCTATCGCCCCAACAGACAAGGAAGGGTTGACGAAAACTGCCGCGTGCTGGTTTATCCTATCCATGTTTGCTCTCCTATCGGTCCTTGCATAAGATTTACTGTTTAGCATATCTTTGCTTTAGTGAGTTACATTTAATTTGCAATGAGATGTCTTTAACATGATGAACGTCTACATGCTATTGGCATGCTTCAAATGGGTTCTACACAGCGAGCAGTAGCCAACATGCTTAATGTGTCACAGTCTGTGATCAGCAGACTGTGGAACCGGTACCAACAAACACACTATGTTGATGATAGACCTCGTTCAGGTCGCCCTAGAGCCACTAAACAAGCCCAGGATCGATACATTCGTACACAGGTCCTGCGAAATCGAGGACAAATGACCAATCAGCTTTCTGTAAACTTGTACTAAGTTACAGGAATTCGAGTTACACCCCAAACGATTAGAAATCGGCTACATGCAGCCCATTTGCAATGAGTGACGACTGCGTGTTGTGCCTCCATTAACTCACCAGCACATGGCAAACAGGCATCAATGGTGCGGGCAGCGTAGAAATTGGGGTGATCGTTGAAATGCGTGTGTAATGTTCTCAGATGAGGCGTGTAAATGAGCGTCATACTAACGTTAATATCAGACAGCATTACAGATTCAGGCGTGGGTCTGTTATGGTGTGGGGAGGAATCACCATCACTGGCAGAACGTACTTGCATATTGTTCAAGGAAGGGTCACTGGTGTGTACTACCGTGACCACATCCTGGCACCGATAGTTCTGCCCTTTGCTCAACGTGCAGGTCGACGTCCACCACGCTCGTGTCGTGAATGACTACCTCCAGCATAACCATATTGTCCATATGCCTTGGCCAGCCACGAGTTCTGACCTTTCCCCCAATAGAGCATGTCTGGGACATGATCGGGAGACGTGTTTGTCAACATCAACCAACAACACTGCAAGACTTGGCTGTGGCACTGCAAGCGGAGTGGGTCAGATTGCCTCAAATCGTGATTGGACGGTTGATTAAGAGCACGCCACGACGAATTGCTGAATGTCTGATGATTGGTGGAGCAATTACTAATTATTAGGACAAAAATCAAAAAAGTCCATTTTCACTTTTAACAGTGTATCTCTTTGCGAGTGAAATGGGGCCGTCATGTGTAGGCAATTGGCCTGTTATTAACATACACTTGTTACCTCTAATAAAAACAGCAGTTCATTTCCGTAATTTTGTATCGTTTCTGAATATCCCCTACTTTTTTTGAAGAGTATATATTCAATAAATAAATTCAGTTCAGATTCCTTTAAATTGGATACATTTGTCAAAGGAAAAAGGGGAAGAAAATATCAAATTAAATCTTACCATATCACCATCAGGAGTTGGGACAAGTATATTCATCTCAGAGGACTTGGCCGATACAATCTCTGAATCAAGAGAATTTTTACTAAGATAAACTTGACATCCATCAGTTTTATCAATACTAACAGTGGGTACTCGACCTATCACCTGTAAATATATAAATTAGTAATATATTATTTTGTTCACAGAAAGAGAAATGGGGTTTAATGTCTGTTCGGCACAAAGTAAGCCATTTTGTGACTAACATGGTACAATTTTATTTCAATAATTCGCTTGCACAAAGGCGTCATTAGAAGAAGGAGGAACCTGTAGAACCCAGAGAAAACACACTTAGAAGCTTTGACTGAATGACAGATCTTATGATCTAAGGCACATGCATAAGACCCCTCAGCCATCCCCACCATTTTGTTTGAGTCTCAGCGGTGTTTAGTTGATGAAAACAAAACACATAGTTTATATGTCATTTTTAGATAAATGTTTGGGAATATAAATAAGTATCCTTCACCAAAGACAATTGTTTATTCCTTCTTGTTTATTTAAAGTAGCTAAGTCTCTAACTCAATATCATAAAAAACCTTCGAAAATGAAAACACGAATTATTTATCAATTTTAATCAACATTGGTGTTGTGATCTTACCGGGAAAAGTTGGGCTTCTGATATCCAATATTTAAGACAAAATAAACATTTTACGATTGGTACACGAATCATGTACCATAATGCGTTTCAGCCCAATTTGTAACAAGCGACTTGGAAGAACGAGGTTAGACATATTCCACAAGTCATGTCAAACGGTGACCCCATTATTCTTCTCTGGAGAGCATGCCCAATAAATACTATCGGTGTAGACTGGAATAACCAGACGCTAGAGATTGCCATTCGATTGAGACTTCTGGCGTATTTCGCCGAACATAACTGCTTTGAAATTAGAGTAAAAAAGGAACGATTGAATGTAAATCAGTTTTTTTTACATTCATTTTACATTATTATATACGTTGCGACCCATTTGTGTCAATTTGTAGGTCCCAAATATTAACGATTTAGCTCCTTTAAACATACATTATAGAAGAGCTAAATCTGCCTATTGCAGGACTTTCTTAAGGCCTGAAATGTTATATAAACTATTATTTAGACATTAAAGATACATTATGGGAGATTTTAATAGAGACTTCAAGGACTTGGCCATTCTTGCTATAACAGTTCAAAAATAGATGATAAAAGAAGAATATATTGAAAATTTCAGTCAAATTACTTTATTCTGAACAAAGTTATCACCATTGTAATTTTTGACTAGAAATAGGAGTCAAATCCCTCTTCACCGTCTACGAGAATGCAGGCCGTTTGATTGACAGGCGTTAACTCCACCTACATAATCTCGATTATCAAGTTACGTTTTCAATTCGTATCACATTTATTTTTACTACAAATTAAAAATAGGACTTTTATTATATAGATAAGAAGCGAAAGTTTTAAAGGAATGGACCAAATCAATGAGGCATAATTATAGCCGACTTCTTCAATCTTGTTAGCCTGCGTGTACTCCCAAAGCAGACAAATTGAAATAGGAAACATTGATCCAATGGGGCTGCATGAGCTGCAATTCAACTGGGGTGATGTTAGCTGCGATGTTTATCAATTTCCATAATTTTTCTGTAAACGCAAGTGACAAAAGAGCATATAATACCGACATCCAAACTCTCATTTTAACCACAAATAAACATAATATCAAGGCCGTATATATCAAACTTTCAATCAAATTGACCGACATATGCGGCCTCGCTCAACAGCGGCCTCGCTTCGTACACTCTATCATTCAGCCTCGATCTAAAATTTCCCGGAGTATGACGTCAACGTAACGGTTAATCTCAGCTTACGACGCCATTTAAAAATTTAATCAATCAATGAAATCCTGTTTAAATCCAAGCCATCCGTGGGTCTACAGAGTTGATTTTGTGCTTGTTGTGTAAATAAAGATCTTATTTATAATTTCTATGACATCTGAAGCCTAAATAAAGACTTGCAATAATCAGATTTAGCTCTTGCATAATGTATGTTTAATTAACTTATCCAAACCATAAGATGTCATTTTATGTGTCAGATTTTCACTGGATTTGAAATCCAAAAATTGATAATCAAGACTATGTTTTTTATCGTACCGACTTTAGTAATGATTCAAAAGCTAATATCTCGGTTCAGAGTGGAGCAATTTGACCGAAATTTTCAAGATATTCCATTTACGTTATCTATTTTTTTAACTATTATAATGTCTCTTTAAATTCCTTAAATTGTTCAGTTCCATCTTTCACTTTCTATCATAGTTACAGTGATTTCAGTCTGGTATTACCAGAGTGCTGCTCAAAATAAAGCTTAATATAGGGTTACGTCGAACTATATCTATACAAACCCTGAAATCAGCTGTTGTTTACAATGTGACACTAAATCAAACCACAGGGCCTGGCAAGGGACAACTAACTGTCATTCGGATGGGACAAAAATCTGAGGTCGATTTCATTTCTTTTCTGCTTTACATTTAGGTAAGGGTTTCATAAAACTCTACTTATTGTATGTTCAATGGAAATAACTCTGCAAGTAACTATTGGAAAATGCTGAAAGTTAAAAGTCTGGGTTTCATGAAACAGTCTAAATTTCAAATCCATTGAAAGAAGAGGAGGAATCATGATCTACTCAAAAGCTTGTTTATTATTTGATAACTGCTTTTTTAAATTAAATGTTGCAGCAGACTTTGTAAGACTCACCTGTCCCTGTACACTCTGACAATTAACAAACTCCAATGATGATAAAATATCATCAAATACAACACCACATTTTTTACATGAATCTGAAGTGAAACAAATAAAATTTAAAAAATGTCTGTTGTCTAACAAAGTGATGTATTCCCATGCTATTAGTTATCACTTAAAAGGACAAAAGATAGGTTGCCGGCTAAATCGTCCGAGCAGTCAACAAGGGTTGTCGAGTATTTATTCTTTTGTAGATAATGGGAACATTTACAAGACACTAATATAATTTCATACAGATCACTAGACAACTTTTGTTGTTTTGTCATTAGAGTTAAAGTGTTCAACAAAGTGAAACAAGGGTGATAACTCTAGAAAGTATTAACAGATATTGCTGAAATTCAATATGCTTTTGCATTTTACAAATTTCAATAATGCATGTAAATTTAATACAGTTCAGATATAGTTAATACAGTTCACAAGGTGCTACAAAGTGAAACAAGGACCATAACTCTAGAAGTAGGATTCTTCACCTCACTAATGTTAACAAGACATATAAATTTCATAATGATCAAATAATAAATGTAGTCTGTAGTGTGTTCCCAAGGAATTATGGGTGACGGACAGGATGGCAATATACGACATTTCCATGTGGGTGTATAAAAACTTATATTAAAAACAATAGATCTTTCCTAATACAGTCACATAGGATTTTCCACATATTATTTGAAAGCATGTTGGTGAGAGTAACTGTAGTCACATGATCAAAGGGGGAGAGAGATAGAAATTGGGGTTAATGTCCACTCGACCCAAACTAAGTCATTTCGGGACCAACATATTGTTCAATTTTATTTCAATAAATTGCTTGCATGTAGGGGTCTTTAGCAGTGGGAGGAAACCCAAGGACCTGGGGAATTTAATAGACAATTACATACAGATGACATTATAATTTTCGTTGTTTGAAGGTTCACAAGGTTCTAAAAACTAAAGCAAGGGCCGTAACTTTGGAAGCAATCTACAGAAATTGTTCAAATTCAACAGGCTTTTTTCTTTTTACTCATTCAATTAATGCATATAAATTTCATAAAGATTGGATGATAAATTTTGTTGTTCGAAAGTTCACAAAGTTCAACAAAGTACATCAAGGACCATAACTCTAGAGTTAATTGACGGAAATTGCTGACATTCAATAGGCTTGTTCGTCTTCATTTCACTAATTTAGGTGATAACTGAAACTCAATAGGCTTGTTGGTTTTACTAATTTAAATGATACATATAAATTTCATACAGATTGGATAATAACTTTTGTCGTTAGAGCGTTCACAAGGTGCAACAAAGTGAAACAAGGGCCATAACTCATCTCACTAATGCAAACTACATATATCAATATTAAAACAATCGGTTGATAAATGTAGTCTGTAGAGTGTTCACAAGAAATTGTGGACGATGGACGGACGGACGGGAGCGACGGCAATATACGACCACATTCCCATGTGGGGGTATAAAAACTATATACATACCCATAATAACAGAGTTAACTTTTCCTTTTATTTGTATGGTACTGTTAACACATTTATAAATATATACTGTCTGCTTTAATTCAGTTTTATCTATTAATATATTTCTGTTATCATTATGATATTCCTGAAATAAAATAACAATATCAATAATTTCATTATTGGTATGTTCTGGTTATATTGCATTACTCTTTTAACACAGAAGAATACCTCTCATATAAATGCTTTTATGTGTAGTAGAAGTTAGTGGTTTAATGTATGCTTCCACCGTAGTGACTGATATCGAAGACAACACACTTGTGTTAAAAGAGAATAATTCTAGTAAGTTGGAAAAAATAAGTTGGACTGCTGTTGGTTTCCAGTGGGCTTCGTCAAGTTGTGGCAATGAACAACCAATTCTTATGACTAGGTTTACAATCTCAGCAAGTTTGAAAAAAAAAATCTCAAAAACTGACCTATACAGCATTGTGGACGAACAAACGGGGATGATGACAATATAGTTCCACATGAAAAGTGCATGTATACAAATCTAACTTACAACAATCCACTTCTTGCCTTCTAGTTTAGTTACAGGTGGATGAACAGTAGCGGGCTTAGCAGGTGTAGGGGCAGAAACAGGTTTTCTTGTTACAGGAGGTTTGTAAGGAGCTGGACCTTCTCTTAATGCAGGATTTTTGTGGGTCTTCATATCATCAGTCACTCTCTTTAAACCTAAAAGAAAAAGTGTCTACAATAAATACTGATTTAATGTTCATTATATGTATTTTATCCAATGTTGGAACAAGCACAGTTGTAACAGAAGCAACCCTATGTTTACTTGCAGGTGTAAATATCCAAATCGAACACTAATAAAGTGAAGAAACAGTCTGTTTACCTGGACTGAAAGTTTCAAAGCAAATTTTAAACTATTGAAACATTTTCTCAAATAATCTATAAATTTGCTTTACAGAGTTAGGCTTTCAGTTAATGAATTTCAGTATGAGAAATTTGATTACAGAAAATTCTCCATTGTGTCTGCTCCACACTTGCAAGCTAAATGCAGTTACCTCCCTTGAACTACATAGGCGATAGAGATGGAGAAATGGGGTTTAATTCCACTTGATACAAACTAGGTCATTTCAGGACTAACATGTTTCAATTTCATTTCAATAATTCGCTTGCATGTATCACTGTAACCCAGGTATCATTTGATCTTGTGTATCTAACACTAATTTCTTTCACATTCGTTTAATATCCAATCTTTGTTTAAAAATTAGTTAAAATCATTTAAAATCACCAAAAATCATCTAATTTGTACTTGTGTCCAGTTTAAAGCTGACTGATTAATTTTGATAATGAGTGTCCAATTTACAAGTATTTAATTTCCTGACCACTGTTCAAAAATTAATCATTATACATCATTAATGAATTGGGTTGTTTATTATTTCACAGTGATTGAGAAATTAAACACTTGTAAATTGGACACTCATTATCAAAACTGAATGGTCAGCTTTAAACTGGACAGAAGTACAAATTAAACGATTTATGGTGATTTTAAACAGTTTTTACAATTTTTTTAAACAAAGATTGGATATTAAACAAATGTGAAAGAAATTAGTTCTAGATACACAAGATTAAATGATACCTCGGTTACAGTGTATCGGCCTTTAGCAGCTGAAGGAAACCGGAGGACTAGGAGAAAACACACAAGGTTGGACAGGCGACCCTACTCCTTGTCACATAGAACCGGGAATCAATACAACGCCACTTGACCCAATGACTATGAGAGAGAGCTTATGATAAAAGGCGCACATGTTAACCATTCAGCCACCCAACCCTCACTAAAATGTAGCAACTGGAGTACTGGAACCAGTTGAAGATAGCTAATCAGGAACTCCATGTTTCCATGTAAGTATAGCAATGGTTAATGGGCTGGTAACCATTGCTTTGAACAGGAATATGTTTTTTTTATGGTAAATGTCCTTGACTAAACCATTGATTGAAGTGACAGTTCATGTGAAATGAATATGCTACCTACCTTTAGAAATATCAGCTCCTTTGTTAATTTCACTAAACAAGGCTGATGTATCTGGTTTATTAGATGCTGGAGCTGCTACTCCTAGTGGTGGTGGTGGCGGAAGAGCTCCTGGAGGTGGAGGAGGAGGGACTCCAGCAGGTGGTGGTGGTGGAGGAGGTGCAGAACCAGCCGATGCATTACGACCCTGAAAGTATAAAATCAAATAATTTAATATGACAGATTAATCATCCAAAAATATGATGCTAAATTCTGATGACCCTTCCATCTGTTCTTACATACAATCTAGGGAGCAACAGCGGCTAAGTCGGTTAGATGCTGGGTCACTAGCCTGGAGGTCGTGTGTTCGATCCCTGCATTGGCCAAGAAAGTTCATTGTGATTTTCCAGCATGGCTCCCCCTTGTCAGTGGTGCAGGGCAGAGGGCCTGACAAGGACAGCTGTCTAGTCGTTCGGATGGGACACAAATTCAAGGTCCTGTGTATACATTGGCGTGCACATAAACGACCCCTTGGCAGTTGGAATTTGATATACATGTAAGAGTTAGAGTTAGTGTCGATGCCCGGGCAAAATTTCCCTCATACCACACTGTATGGCATATTCCCGTCTTCATTAAACCCCATTTCATTTCATTTACATACAATCTAGTGGGATTAAACTCCTGTTTTTATTTCTAATCGATACATGGACATGGCATGCAGTTAACTGTCAAATACAATAAAATATCAATGGAAATGTAATAATTCAGCTATTGAATAAATATTTAGTTTTTTTCAAATTTAAAAAAAAATTGTTTTGTTAAGTACAAGTTAGAATATAAAATACTATATTCTATTCATATCATTTGAACAAAAAAACTGTCTACAATCATAAATATGATAGTACATTGTGTTCAGAATTGTTCTGGGATAAAATAGCAATGGGTAGATATTCAGGTCTCTTCTGTTCATGACATTTCGTGTTGACAATTCAAATCTCAAAACAATATACATGTATTTGAAATCTGTAAATAATGACTAAATCTAACATCACATGTTTTGATTTTCTGATTTACTTACAAATATGGAAATGCTGATGAAAAACACATTTTTTTTATAAATTCTTTCGCCTGCCTCTTAAGTAGAACCAGGAAATATACTATTTACTGGATAATAGTGTTTTATATTAAACATGACCTTTTATACATTTTACTTGATCTACCAGTTATAAAGGTTAATAGTAGAAAAGGAAATGACAACCAGACTTGAGTTTTATATCACTCAACGTTGAAAATAACATGCATTGCTTCATTTAACTTCGGCCATATATATCAACATTTTAGGAAGGCTTGTATTATATTTCCTTTTGTTTTCCAGAAAAAATATGACATTTTGTTTTTTTTAACAATGAATTTTACTTTACTTTCTAATATTTCGAATGGATAAGTTTAGCTTACTGAAATCTAAAATCAAACCATCGACAACATTAGAAAATGGAATATTGGACATCATAATCACAATCTATCTTTGCCCATGGATGATAAAATTCACATGATAAATTTATATCGATCAATAAAGTTCAGATCATCAACTTGTTAATTCAAAATGTTTCTTTGATATTTGATTTAAGTGACCATCAGATTTGGATTGATTTTCATTTCCTGGGTGTATTCTTAATGTGAGACAAGCAATTCAACATGTTAAATTTATCTATAAATAAAAATCAATGCATAAAGGTTAAAAGATAAAAATACTTAATTTCCATTTTATTTAAGGAGTAAAATTAAGGTAGCTCTTGAAAATTTTCCTCGGGTTAAATGTTCATCGTAAAATCTTGTGAAATCCGACATTTATTTGTGATAATTACGATACCATTCCTAAATATGTTCAACTCTAGTTTCTTATAGTTCTTTCTGACATTTTCGTCAATTTACAAATATCAGGCATCTCTGCTACCCTTTGGCACTAACAGAACTGACATTTTCTCAATAGTTAACAGACACATTTAAAGGGCAGACACAAGTGGCGGCCATGTTGGATAAACAAGAGGATATTATGATAACCTTTGTTGATTGGATAAAAATGTGCCGGAGGGTGCAAATTGTTCCTCATGTTTGTTTTAAATTCAGGTAGAATTGTTTCCATGACGTTTGGTCATAGATACCTTGACAGCAGTGCCAACCATTTATAGTAAAAATCGCGGTGAATCTTTTGAATATAGTTGACCCACATCTAACATGGAGGTTTATATCCGGCAGGTGTAAACAGTAAAACTAGCCATGTTTTAGCCACACTAGCTGACTGATAAATACATAAGTTTCTGTTTTTGTCCCCTATAAATGAAATGTCTGCCAATACATTATTTCAGTTATTTTTGAACTAGTTAGTACAAGGTAATTTATTTTATATTGAGTGTGTAATTCTGTTTTCGAGGTTTGACTCGATACTTGATTTGGCTTGGATCTCAAGTGAAAAAAAAAATCTATATGGTTCCTGATTTACATATGTTACCTATTCCATAAAAGCTGAAAATTATTTTATCATTATTTTTCGCCTTCATAAAATACTCTACTAGCTTTACATAAACCCAACTGTTTATTATTAGTTTATATCTTTTGTATTTATTAAATTACTGGTACATATTTTTCTTTTTAAATCATAATCCTGTTTGCGTTCAAATTGGTATGGATAAAAATATTTTTGGGAAAAAAATCATACATTTTAAAGGGGCTAAATCGCGAATATTTAGGACCGAGAAATTGACAAAAGTGGGTCGCAACGCATATAATACTGTAATATGAATGTACATAAACTGATTTGCATTCAATGGTTTCCGTTTTTACTCCAATTTCAAATCAGTTATGTTCGGCAAAATAAGCCAGCAGTCTCAAGCGAGTGCAAATTTCTAGCGTCTGGTTATTCCAGTCTACATACGCCGTTAGATTTGGTGCAATGTGTCTAGCCTCGTCCCTCGAATCTCTTGATACAACTGGGGCTGAAGCGCACTATGGTACACGATTCGTGTACCAATGGTAAAATGTTTATTTTGTCTTAAATATTGGATATCAAAAGCCCATCTTTTTCCGGTAAGATCACAACATGAATGTTGATTTAATTTGACAAATAAATCGTGTTTTCAATGTTGAAGATTTTGGATGATATTGAGTTAGAGACCTAGCTACTTTAATCCAACAAAATGCATACTTGCCATTCTATTTCCTGGATCAAATCTCAATGTGAACAAAGCCTTTTATGTTTTACCTATTACAATTTCAAAGTGAGAAAAATGAGGACTTTCCAGCTTGAAATGCACCCATTTAATTATTATGTTTCAGTTACAAGTAATATAATGTTCCTCATAAACTTGTGGAATATGTGTTAAACTGTTGAATCTATAAGTGTTTTAAAGCTACACAGACTATAGCACGGTAAAGTGATTTAAAGTAATTTACAATTGAACAATGACGAATGTATTTACTCGGTAGGTGTTAAATGATGTTAACTATTTCAACTTTTCCATGTGCTCTCTTCTTTTCTCCTCTATTCAAGGTCAAATTTAGAGGTCATTGCATTTAACTTTTTTCTTAAAAGTATTGTAATTATTAAAGACGCATTATGTAAGAGCTAAATCTGACTATTGTATGTCTTTTATCTGGCTTCAAATGGTATAAATTATTATTTGCCGTAGACATTTATTCACATGACAAGCGCATAATCAAGTGTTTAGACACAATATTTCGGTTATATTTAAACTAGGATGGTTAAGATATTAAGTGGATTAATTAGACAATATCCGCCATATCTTTGTTAAATGTTCATCTTAAAAAATCAAGACTGGTACTGGATAACCAAGCTTTTTTATTTAGTCATGTTCGTGTCAAAACTTCAAACATTCATAACTTTGCTAAGAATAAAATAATTTGACTGAAATTTCAATACATTCATTTTGAGCCACGGTGGCTAAGTGGGTAAGACGCTGGCTTGCTAGTCTGGAGGTCGCATGTTCGATCCATGCATTTGCCCAGAAAGTTCCTTGAGAATTTTCCGACGTGGTGTCCCCTTGTCATTCCTAATCAGTAGAATCTGTATTCAAAATTCCAAAATGTCTATTAAACCAATGCTCTTAAATAGTGTCAGAAAGTGTCATGCACAGACAGAAGGGCTGTCATAACGGTATTGGGCAGGCTGGGCAATGGCCCGGGGGTCCATAAGCATATGGGCCCTATGCTAATCCATGTATCTTGTGATTTGCTGTTTTTTAATGTTTAAACACCGGTTTTGTTGGAAATACCAATACAATCAATATGTCTTTGACAATTTATTTTTCTATTCATGTGAGTGGTTGTGTAGATAAATGTTGCAATGCACTATTTACTTCAGGGTCTATAATGCTGTTGACTGTTGAGACAGTCTGGAGAGGCAAGGTACTCTGTTAAAATACTCATTCCATAGTTACTTGTGATTTCCTACATCCTCCCAGGACAGTGTCATAATTACATCACAACAATACTACCAATTTGAAGACAAATTGTAGACTTATCTAATGTGAAATATTTTTGATCAATTAAATAGCTTATAACGAAGTATTTGAAAATATAATTTGTTGCACATTTAACTGTTAGTGTAGTTTTCTTGTGCAATTATTCTTTAGGTTTAAACTTTTTTAAAGATGAGTCAAACGTTTATTCTTTCTTGAACATGTATATAAATCACTGGTAGCCATATTGTAAGGGTTGTCAGGGAACAGATGGTAACTAGGCTGGCAGCAGACATCAAATTTAAACATTTTAACAGATGCTCACAAAAACAAGAGAAAAGTTTACTTAAATATAGGTCATGAGTGCTGTGTTATGAATTTTCAAAGCAAAAAAAAAAACCTGTCAATTTGGAAGTGTCTACCTATAAATGAAAAGCTCTTTGTAAGGAATTCTTTAATTGTCCACTTATCAGTCTGAATCCCCAAAAAGAAATGAAATGAAATGAAATGGGGTTTAACGTCCTACTGTTTTGCTCCGACTGGGATAATGAAGACCGGCATACGCCATACAGTGTGCTATGAGGGTAATTTTGCTCGGACAGCGGCACTACAGCCTACTCTTATATCGAATTCCAACTGTCAAGGGATCTTTTACGTGCACGCCATTGTGTACACGGGACCTCAGTTTTTCATTCCATCCAAACGACTCGGCAGCTGTCCTTGTCAGTTCCTC